TCCTGAAGATCCGCGTCTTCAGTGGAGTTGAAAGAACTGATGGAGTTGTTCACCTGGAATAGAAATGTGCGCCCAATCACACATCCATCAAAACATACTTGTAGATACAAAATAGAAACACAATACGCATCGTTTGGAGACTCACCACTTGCGCTGAGAAGAACCAGAGAGTTGTCTCTGTAGTCTCCATAGTTGTGCTCAATCCACCTGCAGCTCAGCGCGGAGCCAGCCCCAACCAAAGCGCAGAGGAGTATCATCCTGAACATCATCATTGTGCTGATAAAGTTGTTCTGCTAATTGTTCACTCTTGTATTGTTCATAAAGTGAAGGTTTGCTGTGACTGTGACTGAACGAGCCATGGTCCAATTTATGGAGAGGATCATTTTCAGTTTCCGATCACCTGCGGGTCCGAAGTGAATGACTGAAGCCACTTTTCTCATGCGTCCAAAACCTCAGCATTTCACATTGGACTTCTGATGAAAACTGTCGTGTTCCATGCAAAATGAAAAATCAATCTAATATGATATCAACTGTTTATAGTTTTACTAGTTTATTGGACTATTCATTTGTCAGAGTATATTTATTTTTTATGATACTGATGTGAACTGACTGTACAATCAAGTTAAAGTTTTTATCTTTCCACTTCTTGTTTGATAAAATAGTTTATGTTGTGTCAGTATGTTTACTATCAGCACTGGACTTATTCTGAATTGATTCAAGTGAAGTAAGAAATACATTTTATTAACCGAGACTATTAAATGAGAAATATTTGGAAGCAGAATAGTTTCTGACTTGAAAATGAAAGTGTCGGTGTGCGCAGAGGCTGACGCAGTGCGGCCTGGTTCCTCTGAAGTGGAAAGCGCTGAGTGACATTTCACATGTTGTCCACAACGCGGAGAAAATGACTGTGATAATATAAATATTTATAATATCCCTTAAAACTCACTAAAGCCAGTTTTGGTTAATATAGGAGCTTTAAATGCAGAGTCCCTTGCTTGTCTTTTTTCCACAATCTGTAACTTAGGCGAGTAGGAGTGATGTCCTATTTTTTTTTTAATATACATTTTCATATATTTTTACTCTTTATTTACTGTAATCTTGATGTTGTTTGCTTGAGTACAACGATTTGACTTAATTAAATAAACTACCCGTCAAAAATTTTAGAACACCCAGATTTTTCCAGTTATTTATTGCAATTCAAGTCCAGTGAAGAGCTTGAAATGGTACAAAGGTAAGAACAAGTCCAAGCTCTGCCAAAACTACCTCAGGAAAAAAGAACAAGATGGTAAAGCTTGAAAACCTGGAGTGTCCAGCACAGTGTCCAGACTTAAACCCTATCGAGCTGGTTTTGGATGAACTGGACAGAAGAGTAAAAGCCAAGAAACCTACAAGTGCCACACATTTATGGAAACTTCTGCAACAGACTTGGGAAGAACTTTCTGAAGAATATTTGATTTCTATTGTAAAAAGAACGAGCCACGAGTGTGTTCAGCTGTTATATCTGCCAAAGGATGACACTTTCATCAATCAAAAGTTTAGAATACGTTTTGGTCAACAGTAAACAGTAAAAAACTGGAAAAGTGTGGAGTTCTAAAACTTTTAACCAGTGGTGTATATTTCATGTAAATAATGATCACAGACATTACATATAATTTCCCCAAAATCCATGTTTTATTTGACCTTTTTTGGGCAGCATTCATAATTAAAATATACAAGATCATTTTTTTCAGTAAAAACTAAATTAAACACATAAATAATACTAGAAAAGCACTCAGAGAGCGCAGACCTCCGCCAAGGACTACCCCCATTTTTTATATAAATTGCGATAAAATCAGTCTTCTGGATCAGATCCGGATCAGCCTTTGGAATATGAAAGAGGATCCCATTGTCCATCCCTGAGTCAAATTTCATGGGGTTTGGTCAATAATTAACTGCGATATTGAGAAACAAAATTTTTGGCCCCATTTACCACAATGTTAACTAAAATTTCAAAGTGATCCAGAATCCAGGATTTCTTCCGGATCACCCCCAAAATGAAATCAGTTCTTCCTTTTCACATTTCCAACAAATCCTGAAAATTTCATCAAAATCGGTCCATAACTTTTTGAGTTATGTTGCTAACAGACAAACAAACAAACAAACAAACAAACAGACAAACGCCGGCAAAAACATAACCTCCTTGGCGGAGGTAATAAATAAAGCATTAGTGTTATTTATTGGTGATAGAGGCAACAAGCAGGTCTGCTCTCTGGAGATGCAGTTTGACTTCTCTGCGGATCCATTCCCAGGCTTCTGCATTATGGCCCTAAAATGGAGGAAAACAAAACAAACATAGTCAGAACGTTGCTCTAGAATTGATTTATTTTAAGGATTTTTTTAAATGTTCTAGTTGAAGATGCCATACCATTTGCTCGAGCAGAGTTGACAGTCTCTTGAAATACAAGCTCAGCTTCTTGTTCTTTCTTTTGGAGCTCTGGTTTGTCACCTGAACACAAGATTTTGTTTAGTAATTTGCCATGAACAATAGAAAGACTCAGATTGGTCTTGTATGTTTTAAAATTACCCTCGAACTTGGAAATGTTAAAGAAGTTGATCCACTTACGCATGATCGGAGTCCATCTGCTTGCTGCGTAATGACGTTGAGAAAGTCATCCACGGCGCTCTCGTGCCAGGACGCAGCGCTCTGGTCCTCCTCAAACAGGGACACAATCTCATCCAGAAGCTGAGCCACAAATCTGATCCTCTTTTCGGCCTAGAATTACAAACCATTACGTGCTCATTTAGTTGTGTTTTGTTTTGTTGTATTTGTACATTTGTATTTGGCCTGTATTAACTCACCGGTGCGTTGGATGCGCGTCTGTAGAGCTTATTTGGGAAATGAACCGCCTCTTCAAAATCAGAGTCTTTACTGGAGAAATAGTTGTTCCCCTGGAACAAACGCACATGTCAAATATAAAGTGTAGCTGTTGATTAGAAAACTATACCACTGTATGACATCACAAGGTGGAATCGGTCAATTTGAACTTTGGCGATGTAAACATACTAATAATAAAAGAGTAAATCAAACATTTGTGAATGAAACAAAACACAACTCGATTATGTGTTTATGTATATGCCTTAAAGCTCTCAAGAATCAATTTTGTGTAATATAGGATCTTTAAATGAAGTACCTGCTTATCTTTTTTTGGCCAGAATCTGTAATTGAGGTAAGTAGTAGTAGATAGAAATTAGGTTGTATTGTTTTGATACCCACACATATTCAGTACAGTTTTTTTTACTCTTTATTTACTGTAATGTTGATGTTTGCTTGAGTACAATGATTTGACTTAATTAAGTATTTTTCATGTAAATAATGATCACAGACATTACACATAATTTCCCCAAAGTCCATGTTTTATTTGACCTTTTTTGTGCAGCATTCATAATTAAAATATACAAGATCATTTTTTTTTTCAGTAAAAACTAAATTAAACACATAAATAATATAAATAAAGCATTAGTGTTATTTATTGGTGATAGAGGCAACAAGCAGGTCTGCTCTCTGGAGATGCACTTTGACTTCTCTGCGGATCCATTCCCAGGCTTCTGCATTATGGCCCTAAAATGGAGGAAAACAAAACAAACATAGTCAGAACGTTGCTCTAGAATTGATTTATTTTAAGGATTTATTTAAATGTTCTAGTTGAAGATGCCATACCATTTGCTCGAGCAGAGTTGACAGTCTCTTGAAATACAAGCTCAGCTTCTTGTTCTTTCTTTTGGAGCTCTGGTTTGTCACCTGAACACAAGATTTTGTTTAGTAATTTGCCATGAACAATAGAAAGACTCAGATTGGTCTTGTATGTTTTAAAATTACCCTCGAACTTGGAAATGTTAAAGAAGTTGATCCACTTACGCATGATCGGAGTCCATCTGCTTGCTGCGTAATGACGTTGAGAAAGTCATCCACGGCGCTCTCGTGCCAGGACGCAGCGCTCTGGTCCTCCTCAAACAGGGACACAATCTCATCCAGAAGCTGAGCCACAAATCTGATCCTCTTTTCGGCCTAGAATTACAAACCATTACGTGCTCATTTAGTTGTGTTTTGTTTTGTTTTGTTGTATTTGTACATTTGTATTTGGCCTGTATTAACTCACCGGTGCGTTGGATGCGCGTCTGTAGAGCTTATTTGGGAAATGAACCGCCTCTTCAAAATCAGAGTCTTTACTGGAGAAATAGTTGTTCCCCTGGAACAAACGCACATGTCAAATATAAACAGCCTGTACCAACATTGTGCCAAGTTACGTTTGATCACACGAACGTGCCACCGAGCCAAGACGCACCATGTGACTGACTAAACCGAAGGAAGAGTCTCTGTACTTGTCATATTTCTGCTCCACCCACGTGCAGCTCAGGGCGGAGCCAGGCCCGACCAAAGCGATGAGTAACACCCTGAACATCATCTCCATGATAAAGGTGTGTCTCTGTACACTGTAGTGTGAGGCTGCTTTAATACACTGGACTTTCGGTTACCGACTTTTCGGTAAAAGAATTTCGGTTTGTCAGACGAAAATTTGCGCGTGGCAGCCGAGATTTAACTTTATTAAAGAAACCACAGAAGACAATGCACAGCAGACACACTGTTATCACCATGTAGCCTTCACTTGAAACTTTGTATTTATTATTATTTTTCATTTAGGCCATAAACTTGATTTTAGTCTGGCTTTATTTAAACAATTCAGGGACGATTCGAACCCCGAGTAAACTTAAGGGTCTGACTCTTTCTGGGGTTTGAACCTGAGACAAAATGACAATTATTGTGAGTAGAGCTGACATGGATTATTTACTGATTCTTTGGTCTTAAAGCCAGTCAAGTTACAAGACTCAAATGTATGAAACATTTCTCAGATTCATCCTCGAAGTAAGACAGCTAACAGGCAAAGAAGATCAAATTGAGTAAATAAATAGTTTATTTGTTCAATTAAAAATAAATAAATAAATATATAAATACATAAATAAGTCAATAAATAAAGCATAAGTGTCTTCAGTTGGTTTTGGCGGGGATCAAGAGGTCTGCTCTCTGGAGATGCAGTTTGACTTCTCTGCGGATCCATTCCCAGGCTTCTGCATTATGGCCCTAAAATGGAGGAAAACTAAATAAGAACGTTGCCCTAGAATTTATTTAATTTAAGAATTTTTTTAAATGTTCTAGTTGAAGATGCCATACCATTTGCTCGAGCAGAGTTGACAGTCTCTTGAAATACAAGCTCAGCTTCTTGTTCTTTCTTTTAGAGCTCTGGTTTGTCACCTGAACACAAGATTTTGTTTAGTAATTTGCCATGAACAATAGTAAAGACTCAGATTGGTCTTGTATGTTTTAAAATAACCTCGAACTTGAAAATGTTAAAGAAGTTGATCCACTTACGCATGATCGGAGTCCATCTGCTTGCTGCGTAATGACGTTGAGAAAGTCATCCACGGCGCTCTCGTGCCAGGACGCAGCGCTCTGGTCCTCCTCAAACAGGGACACAATCTCATCCAGAAGCTGAGCCATGAATCTGAGTCTCTCCTCGGTCTAAAATGAAAACAGTCCGTCATTATTTGTTCTGAAACGTTTCGTGTTTTGTATAGTGGTTACGTTTTACGCACAGTCCTATCATTTTTCACTGGTCTACTTACAATTGCGTTAGATGCATGATTATAGAGTTCATTTGGGAAGGCTACGGTATCCTGAAGATCCGCGTCTTCAGTGGAGTTGAAAGAACTGATGGAGTTGTTCCCCTGGAATAGAAATGTGCGCCCAATCACACATCCATCAAAACATACTTGTAGATACAAAATAGAAACACAATACGCATCGTTTGGAGACTCACCACTGCGCTGAGAAGAACCAGAGAGTTGTCTCTGTAGTCTCCATAGTTGTGCTCAATCCACCTGCAGCTCAGCGCGGAGCCAGCCCCAACCAAAGCGCAGAGGAGTATCATCCTGAACATCATCATTGTGCTGATAAAGTTGTTCTGCTAATTGTTCACTCTTGTATTGTTCATAAAGTGAAGGTTTGCTGTGACTGTGACTGAACGAGCCATGGTCCAATTTATGGAGAGGATCATTTTCAGTTTCCGATCACCTGCGGGTCCGAAGTGAATGACTGAAGCCACTTTTCTCATGCGTCCAAAACCTCAGCATTTCACATTGGACTTCTGATGAAAACTGTCGTGTTCCATGCAAAATGAAAAATCAATCTAATATGATATCAACTGTTTATAGTTTTACTAGTTTATTGGACTATTCATTTGTCAGAGTAGTTTTTATTTTTTATGATACTGATGTGAACTGACTGAACAATCAAATTAAAAACTTTTATCTTTCCACTTCTTGTTTGATAAAATAATTTATGTTGTGTCAGTATGTTTACTATCAGCACTGGACTTATTCTGAATTGATTCAAGTGAAGTAAGAAATACATTTTATTAACCAAGGCTATTAGCTGAGAATTAGTTGGAAGCAGAATAGTTTCTGAGTTGAAAATTAAAGTGTCGGTGTGCGCAGAGGCTGACGCAGCGCGGCCTGGTTCCTCTGAAGTGGAAAGCGCTGAGTGACATTTCACTTGTTGTCCACAACGCGGAGAAAAGAGAACTGCATTTCAAACACGTTCAGGTCTGCAGGCTAATATTAAGTATGTTTCAATGTTTTTTTAATAGAGTATGGTTTAAATTGTTGTAAAATGGGAATAACAGCCTAAGGTATAAGTGAACAGCTCTGTCAGTCGTGTAGTTGGTACAGCAAAATGTATGCAGAAAAGTCACTTTATTGTTCGGTCAAATAATCTCGGTTATATATCTACAGTGGATAAACGCAAAGTACAAATTTCGAGTTCATAATTCATAGAAAACTGCACTGAAAAAAACAAACAAACAAACAATAAAACTTAATACTTGTCAGTGTTAAGTAAAATGCACCTACAGGGACTTGTGGCCGTTCCGGTTTGTCAAAGCCTGATCTCGCCAGATCTCAGAAACTGAACAAGGCCGGGCCTGGTTAGTACTTGGATGGGAGACTACTGGGAATATCAGGTTCCACAGTTTGAGCAAAGACTGTCGTTGTGTCCTTAGGCAAAGCACTTCACCCACATTGCTTAGTATGAAAGTGGTGGCTGGAGGGGCTGATGGCACAGATTAACAGCCTCGCCTCCGTCAGTCTGCCCCAGGGCAGCTGTGGCTACAACAGTAGTTTACCACCACAGGGTCTAGAGTGAATGAATAATGAACTGTGAAGCTTGTCCAGAAAAGCTGGGTTGATGGGGTAAACTGGAGCGCCGAGAGGAAACCCAGCCAGACAATCATGCAAAATTCACACAGAAAGGCCCAGGAGACCCAGGGATCGAATCCAGAACCTTTTTGCTGTGAGGCATGCGTGTGTGCTGCCTATATAGTAGAACGTACTCATTAAACACAATACTTCTACTACACGAGTAAAATAAATACATTTTGTCCATTGCTATTAAATAAGTTGTAGTTCTCACAGAATTATGTTATTTCAGTGTAAAAATTACCCCAGTTGATTATTGATAATTTGAGAGGAGCCAGTTGAGGTGGCTCGGGCATCTGTTCTGGATGCCTCCTGGGCGCCTCCCTCGGGAGGTGTTCCGGGCATGTCCCACCGGGAGGAGGCCCCGGGGAAGACCCAGGACACGCTGGAGGGACTATGCCTCTCTGCTGGCCTGGGAACGCCTCGGGATTCCCCCGGAGGAGCTGGAGGACGTGTCTGGGGTGAGGGAAGTCTGGGAGTCCCTGCTTAGGCTGCTGCCTCCGCGAACCGGCCCCGGATAAGCGGACGAAAATGGATGGATGGATGGATGGATGGATGATTTAATGTATTTTACTACCCCCAGAAATGATTTTATCAGTGTGAAGTCAGACCTATGACTTTCAACAATTGCAACGTTACATAATAGATCCCTTCATTGTCACTTTGCATGGTATTTGCAACAAATACACAGCTAATTGTGAAAATGTTTCCCTGAAACTCAAGGAACCCTCCAAAAGAAATGTGCTTATAGTCTCTGTTTAAGCACTGCTCACAATGTTTATTAAAGATCTTTCATTGGACTTCTTGTTCTTTTTTCCCCCATCATTTATGCCTTTGAATTTAAAACACTATAGGCATAAAGGTGCATTGCGTAACTTTTCTGGTGGAGGGTCAGCCATCTGCTTTTCTCCATAGATGTAATTGCTTTGTCTGAAATGTTTCACAGTATGGCATTAAACCTTTCCATCACTGTGGAGACCAAACCAGGCCAAGTTACAGGTCAGATCTGTGGAGAGGCGACCCTGCTTACAGTCAAAATACCTGTTTTTCAAGTATTTCTGAGCAATGAAAACATGTGTAATTGAATAAATGTAAATCTGTTTAATGTCATACTGTGGAATATTTGAATCACAGCAGTGACACCCAAAGAATAATGCATTTTTAACTGGCCTGAATAATATTAAGGACAAAATCATAGTTATAGCGTTCAGCTTATTTATAGGATTTTTAATAGTTGATTATCAAGTGATTAATTAAGAACATTTCAAATTGTGATACAAAAACACAAACATCTTAAAATTCAATAAATATTTTTATTAGTTTGTGTAAAATACAGTACAAAAATGTGCAAAACATCACTTCAAGTCAAGTTAATTATAAATATTCTTCTTAATAAATATAATAAATATATAAATATGAGGTCAGTTATATAATTAAAAAGAGAAATTATGGTCAGAGGATTCTGATGTTTTTGTGGTTCAAGAGGAAGCCAGCAGGTGCACTTTATGGAGATGTATTCGGACTTTCTCCCGGACAAATTCCCAGGCATCAGCGCTGTAGTCCTGTAGGAAACAATTATACAGTTTAATCAACATTCAACAGCAACAGTGTAGAATAATTATCTTTTTTCCCCCCTAAAGCTTACCATGTGCTCCAGGACGTGTCGTGAAAGTCTCTTAAAATACAGGCTCATCTTCCTGTGATTCTTCTTGTGGTGATTTGTGGTTTGTTTTCCAGCCTGGACAAAGACAGAACAGTCAGTCAAGCTCCATTTCACGACTCTTACTGATGCGTATTCACTTTTGATCTTTGGATATGACACTTACACAACGTCTCACGCCGTTTGCCTGCTGCGAAATAATGTCCAAAAAGTCATCCACTGTGTTCTCTGGCCAGAACGCACGTGTTTGGTTCTCCTCAAACAGGGCATAAATCTCATCCAAGACATGTGCCACAAAACTCAGGCGCTCTTCCCGCTAAAACTGCATCAGACCAGGCAGTGCGCACAACTGGTTAAAAATAAGTGTGTTTTCTAGTTTTATTTATTTTTCTTCAGTTTTGCCTTACTGATAATTTGCTTGGCTTTATAACTGTGACAATTTAAGGCAAGGCAAGTTGATTGGATATTGCACAATTTGCGCTCGAAGATTATAAATCTGAAATTCAGATTACAACTAAACAATATTTCTAAGTGAAACAAACACAACAAACAAAATACACAATATTGTTTTATACAGTCAGGGTATGTGGGAAAGGTGAGCAAACATGCCTGGAGAAGACAAGCAGAGTGCAAAGCACACATGATTTTATTTGATTAGTTTTGGTTTTAGTATTATAGAATATAGATATAAAATACAGCCTATGACGATATGATATGATATGTCGTGATATAAAGAACGAGTTGAAATTTTAAAATGTGCGGGTTTCAAAAGCTTGTAGAGTAACAAACTGTAAAATAACAGAATGTTGACCAAGTTGCAAGGTAGGGCACTTTTTCCTCACAGTTCAACTGTCACTGAATTAAAGTTTAATCCCACTAAAAGGCTGTAAATCAGTGTCAACAAACTATTGATAGCAAAGAATACAATTTATAAATTATTTCTATCTTTTGAATGTTTAGATTATCAATATATAACAGTAGCTAACTTTAACAAGCGGTTTCACTAATCGTCAATATGACCATAAATGATCAGAATATTGCTTTGCATATTTACTTGAAGACTGCTTAAAAAATAAATAAAAAAATCCCGACATGGATATACTCTATTGGTGTCTCCGCATTTAATATTGACTCAGTTCACGGGCCCTGAGCCAGCAACGTCAAAGGCAGGCTCACTTCCGCGTACCCGCTGTACGGTTCGCTCCCCGCTCCAGACGGTTCGAAGTCCTTCTTTTTTCTTTTTCTCTCTCTTTTCTGTGTTTTTCTTTCTTTTTTCTTTCCTTGGCTCCAGACCCCGGGGGCGGGATTCGAACCCAGAGCGGAGAAACAGTTGCCCTGGGAGACCGAACTCGGGTCTGGAAAGCTGTAATGTGCGAGCCAAACAAGACCTGAAATCACAGACAGCTGGGGGCATTTCTTAAACTTTCTGCATTTATACACCTCTGGACCTCTTATGTTTTGATGAAAGTTGAGCCCTGCAGGCTGCGACCCTCCCTCCTCTCTCTTCCTTTCTCATCTATCTACTTTTATATCATCACAGATGCTTAAAACGAGACAGAAAAGAGGCCTGGTGTTGTACAACACACACATGATGGAGTCGTTTTCACCACAGGTCAGGCCTGAGCGTGTCAACTTTATTGTGAGCTCTGTGCTCTTTGCTCTGGTTATGTGACGTCAGCCCGTGGTGTGGGAAACAGGAGGATGGATTCACAAAATTTGATGTCGTTTTATTCAGTGCAACACTTGAACTGAACGCGAGATGTGTCCTGTCACCGGGACTCTGGTCTGAGGCGCCCCCCAACCGGCTGCTCTCGCGGACGATAAAAGCGAGGATTTCAGCATCTTAAACGCACCTAATTTCCTTACAGAGTACTAATCCTTTGAACTTAATTATAGGATTTTTAATTGTTGATTATCAGGCTACTAATTAAGAACATTTCAATTTGTGATACAACAACACAAACGTCTGAAAATTCAATTAAAAAAATTACATTTTATTTAACAGTGTAAAAATACAGTACAAAAATGTGTATTCCATTTTAAATATTCTTCATAAATACCAATAAATAAATACATAAATATATATATAAATATGAGGTCAGTTATACAATTAAAAAGAGAAATTATGGTCAGAGGATTCTGATGTTTTTGTGGTTCAAGAGGAAGCCAGCAGGTGCACTTTATGGAGATGAATTCGGACTTCCTCCCGGACAAATTCCCAGGCATCAGCGCTGTAGTCCTGTAGGAAACAATTATACAGTTTAATCAACATTCAGCAACAGTCAAAAGTGTAGAATAATTATCTTTTTTTCCCCCCTAAAGCTTACCATGTGCTCCAGGACGTGCCGTGAAAGTCTCTTAAAAATACAGACTCATCTTCCTGTGATTCTTCTTGTGGTGATTTGTGGTTTGTTTTCCAGCCTGGACAAAGACAGAACAGTCAGTCAAGCTCCATTTCACGACTCTTACTGATGCGTATTCACTTTTGATCTTTGGATATGACACTTACACAACACCTCACGCCGTTTGCCTGCTGCGAAATAATGTCCAAAAAGTCATCCACTGTGTTCTCTGGCCAGAACGCACGTGTTTGGTTCTCCTCAAACAGGGCATAAATCTCATCCAAGACATGTGCCACAAAACTCAGGCGCTCTTCCCGCTAAACAAACAAACAAACAAACAAACAAACAAACAAACAAACAAACAAACAAACAAAAATGACAAAAATAGTAGTTATAATTGTAATATTTATTATTTAGGGTTTCATTGTGCCAAACATTTCCATAAATCTTCACTTACCGACTCTTTGGAGGCATGTTTGTACAACTCATTTGGGAAGGCCACAGCATCATCCACCTCAATATCATCAATGGAGTTTGTGGAGTTTGTTTTCTAGATAAAAAGACTTATTAATTGTAAATAAACACGTAATATCGGCTGCACCTCCAGTGCGTAATTGTCCTGAACTTACCATTGTTTTGAGAAGAGCCAATGCGCTTTCGCTGTATTGTTTAAAATCCCTGTCCATCCATTTGCAGGTCAGCGAGGAGCCTGCACTGAAAAGGAGGCACACCAACAGGATCTTGTTCAGCATTTTGTTCAGGAGTTTATCAAACCAAATGTGTTGATAGTTGCTCAGTAAAAATCCGCTGTTTTGTGATATGGATCCAGTACAGATTTATTCTCGGGCTGATAGTTTCTGTCATGACCATAACCTCAAGCCTCCATTTATGTAGGTCTACCTGAGTTCTTTGACTCCACCTGTTTTCGTTTTCTTCTCGGGGAATCACGGTCAGGGAGAGTGATTTTCAAGGTGCAAGGTTTTCCCACATTCTCTGGTAACATTGGATTGCATCAGCGACAAGACAATAAAGTGTAAGCTATAGCTCTCTAAAATACAGAAGTAGGCTATTAAAACATTACAGACAAAGGTGAAAACCTGTGCGTAATTGTGCGTAAACGCATAATCAGGGCCAAATCTTGGTGCGTAATGACGCTTATAGTGCGTAATTGTACTATAATAATGTTATAGGCTTTTACATCCAGGTCTTTATTGAATAGGATATTTGTGAATCATCCTTTAAAGTTAAATATACCCTTAAATGTATAGATATTTTTACAGTTATTTACCTAATTTAATCTATTTTATTTGAACTATTATTCAGATTTAATACGTTTATGTGTCATATTCTGGCAAAGACTAAATTGTTCAATTTTCTTTCTGTTTACTTACATTATTTACATTGAGATAATTTACTTTGACGTGGTTTCGTCACCTGTTGCGGTTTATAACCTGGATAATTGCTTTTGCATTTCTCACGGGGACGTCCCTGTGCACGCGCGCCTTACCTGTGTATCCGAAAATGAAAGTGGATTGCGTCACTGAATGAGGCAACATGCACAGCATACCTGCACTTCACCTGACGTTTACGCGGAGGGAATTCTGTTTATTTTTACACTACATTGTTGATGTTTATTGACACAAAATACACAAAATAAAAATAAAACATTTTTATACAAGTTTAGACTAATGTAAGTTTCATTTTCTCCCTATAACGAAATAAGACAATAAAACTTACTTTGGCTGACTCAATTGTGACGCTTGGTGCCAGACGCGTGTACTGCATCAGACCAGGCAGTGCGCACAACTGGTTAAAAATAAGTGTGTTTTCTTGTTTTATTTATTTTTCTTCAGTTTTGCCTTACCGATAATTTGCTTGGCTTTATAACTGTGACAATTTAAGGCAAGGCAAGTTGATTGGATATCGCACAATTTGCGCTCGAAGATTATAAATCTGAAGTTCAGATTACAACTAAACAATATTTCTAAGTGAAACAAACACAACAAACAAAATACACAATATTGTTTTATACAGTCAGGGTATGTGGGAAAGGTGAGCAAACATGCCTGGAGAAGACAAGCAGAGTGCAAAGCACACATGATTTTATTTGATTAGTTTTGGTTTTAGTATTATAGAATATAGATATAAAATACAGCCTATGACGATATGATATGATATGATATGTCGTGATATAAGGAACGAGTTGAAATTTTAAAATGTGCGGGTTTCAAAAGCTTGTAGAGTAACAAACTGTAAAATAACAGAATGTTGCCCAAGTTGCAAGGTAGGGCACTTTTTCCTCACAATTCAACTGTCACTGAATTAAAGTTTAATCCCACTAAAAGGCTGTAAATCAGTGTCAACAAACTATTGATAGCAAAGAATACAATTTATAAATTATTTCTATCTTTTGAATGTTTAGATTATCAATATATAACAGTAGCTAACTTTAACAAGCGGTTTCACTAATCGTCAATATGACCATAAATGATCAGAATATTGCTTTGCATATTTACTTGATGACTGCTTAAAAAAAAAAAAAAAATCCCGACATGGATATACTCTATTGGTGTCTCCGCATTTAATATTGACTCAGTTCACGGGCCCTGAGCCAGCAACGTCAAAGGCAGGCTCACTTCCGCGTACCCGCTGTACGGTTCGCTCCCCGCTCCAGACGGTTCGAAGTCCTTCTTTTTTCTTTCTCTCTCTCTTTTTTCTGTGTTTTTCTTTCTTTTTTCTTTCCTTGGCTCCAGACCCCGGGGGCGGGATTCGAACCCAGAGCGGAGAAACAGTTGCCCTGGGAGACCGAACTCGGGTCTGGAAAGCTGTAATGTGCGAGTCAAACAAGACCTGAAATCACAGACAGCTGGGGGCATTTCTTAAACTTTCTGCATTTATACACCTCTGGACCTCTTATGTTTTGATGAAAGTTGAGCCCTGCAGGCTGCGACCCTCCCTCCTCTCTCTTCCTTTCTCATCTATCTACTTTTATATCATCACAGATGCTTAAAACGAGACAGAAAAGAGGCCTGGTGTTGTACAACACACACATGATGGAGTCGTTTTCACCACAGGTCAGGCCTGAGCGTGTCAACTTTATTGTGAGCTCTGTGCTCTTTGCTCTGGTTATGTGACGTCAGCCCGTGGTGTGGGAAACAGGAGGATGGATTCACAAAATTTGATGTCGTTTTATTCAGTGCAACACTTGAACTGAACGCGAGATGTGTCCTGTCACCGGGACTCTGGTCTGAGGCGCCCCCCAACCGGCTGCTCTCGCGGACGATAAAAGCGAGGATTTCAGCATCTTAAACGCACCTAATTTCCTTACAGAGTACTAATCCTTTGAACTTAATTATAGGATTTTTAATTGTTGATTATCAGGCTACTAATTAAGAACATTTCAATTTGTGATACAACAACACAAACGTCTGAAAATTCAATTTAAAAAATTACATTTTATTTAACAGTGTAAAAATACAGTACAAAAATGTGTATTCCATTTTAAATATTCTTCATAAATACCAATAAATAAATACATAAATAAATAAATATATAAATATGAGGTCAGTTATACAATTAATAAGAGAAATTATGGTCAGAGGATTCTGATGTTTTTGTGGTTCAAGAGGAAGCCAGCAGGTGCACTTTATGGAGATGTATTCGGACTTCCTCCCGGACAAATTCCCAGGCATCAGCGCTGTAGTCCTGTAGGAAACAATTATACAGTTTAATCAACATTCAGCAACAGTCAAAAGTGTAGAATAATTATCTTTTTTTCCCCCTAAAGCTTACCATGTGCTCCAGGACGTGCCGTGAAAGTCTCTTAAAATACAGACTCATCTTCCTGTGATTCTTCTTGTGGTGATTTGTGGTTTGTTTTCCAGCCTGGACAAAGACAGAACAGTCAGTCAAGCTCCATTTCACGACTCTTACTGATGCGTATTCACTTTTGATCTTTGGATATGACACTTACACAACGCCTCACGCCGTTTGCCTGCTGCGAAATAATGTCCAAAAAGTCATCCACTGTGTTCTCTGGCCAGGACGCACGTGTTTGGTTCTCCTCAAACAGGGCATAAATCTCATCCAAGACATGTGCCACAAAACTCAGGCGCTCTTCCCGCTAAACAAACAAACAAATAAACAAACAAAAACGACAAAAATAGTAGTTATAATTGTAATACTTATTATTTAGGGTTTCATTGTGCCAAACATTTCCATAAATCTTCACTTACCGACTCTTTGGAGGCATGTTTGTACAACTCATTTGGGAAGGCCACAGCATCATCCACCTCAATATCATCAATGGAGTTTGTGGAGTTTGTTTTCTAGATAAAAAGACGTATTCATTGTAAATAAACACGTAATATCGGCTGCACCTCCAGTGCGTAATTGTCCTGAACTTACCATTGTTTTGAGAAGAGCCAATGCGCTTTCGCTGTATTGTTTAAAATCCCTGTCCATCCATTTGCAGGTCAGCGAGGAGCCTGCACTGAAAAGGAGGCACACCAACAGGATCTTGTTCAGCATTTTGTTCAGGAGTTTATCAAACCAAATGTCTCAATAGCTGCTCAGTAAAAATCCGCTGTTTTGTGATATGGATCCAGTACAGATTTATTCTCGGGCTGATTGTTTCTGTCATGACCATAACCTCAAGCCTCCATTTATGTAGGTCTACCTGAGTTCTTTGACTCCACCTGTTTTCGTTTTCTTCTCGGGGACTCACGGTCAGGGAGAGTGATTTTCAAGGTGCAAGGTTTTCCCACATTCTCTGGTAACATTGGATTGCATCAGCGACAAGACAATAAAGTGTAAGCTATAGCTCTCTAAAATACAGAAGTAGGCTATTAAAACATTACAGACAATGGCGAAAACCTGTGCGTAATTGTCAGGACCAAATCTTGGTGCGTAATGACACTTATAGTGCTTAATTGTATTATAATAATGCTATAGGTCTTTTTTGAATAAGATATTTGTGGATCATTCTTTAAAGCTAAATTTACACTTAAGTTTATATATTTTTAATGTTATTTACCTAATTTAATCTATTTTATTTGAACTATTATTCAGATTTGTGTCATATTCTGGCAAAGACTAAATTGTTCAATTTTCTTTCTGTTTACTTACATTATTTACATTGAGATAATTCACTTTGTCATGGTTTTGTCACCTGTTGTGGTTTCTAACCTGGATAATTTCTTTTGCATTTCTCACGGGGACGTCCCTGTGCTCGCGCGCCTTACCTGTGTATCCGAAAATGAAAGTAGATTGCGTCACTGAATGAGGCAACATGCACAGCATACCTGCACTTCACCTGATGTTTACGCGGAGGGAATTCTGTTTATTTTTACACTACATTGTTGATATTTATTGACACAAAATACACAAAATAAAAATAATTTTTTTTTAATACAAGTTTAGACTAATTTAAGTTTCATTTTCTCCCTATAACGAAATAAGACAATAAAACTTACTTTGGCTGACTCAATTGTGACGCTTGGTGCCAGACGCGTGTACTGCATCAGACCAGGCAGTGCGCACAACTGGTTAAAAACAAGTGTGCTGTTAAATATCTTTGCTTTCTTGTTTTCTTCTTCTTTTTTTCAGTTTTGCCTTATTTAGGATTTGTAGGCTTGGCTTGAATAAATGAAAGAACAAGAATCATAATTGGTGTATGGACTACAAAGCCCAAACGTATGATGGGAAATAGAGTGCTGTCAAACACGTGAGCTGCTATCTGCTCTACTGCACTGTTGCTTTAATTGTTCACATTGCCAGGATGGACAATGGAAATAAAACTTTTTTGATTCTGAAGGGGAAAAAAATCTAAAATTGCACCAACCAAATGACCAGTTGTAAGTTTGTAGCTACAAACTGTGACAATTTTCGGCAGGGCAAGCTGATTTGTATCGCAGTAATTCAAAGTGCTTTACAGATCTAAGAAAGACATTCAAATCACAATACAAACAAATAAAAATGTAATCATCACAAAATTAACATTAAAAGAGAAGAGAGTTGAGTCCAGAATAAAAACATTTCAGTATGCAGCTAAACAGAACCGTTTTGAGCCTAGATTTAACCATAGTCAAAGCAGAGGCCTGTCTCACATGTTCAGGAAGACTTCCTGGTTTTAGCTGCATAAAACTGAAACTCTGACTCCCCGTGTTTGGTACCGACTCTGGGCACCAGCAGGAGGCCGGTCCCTGGGCTCCTCAGAGTGTGAGATGGTTCATATGGCACTAACATGTCACAGATGTACTTTGGTGCTCGGTCATGGAGAGACTTATACACAAGCAGAGCTGCTTTAAAGTCTATTCTCTGAGCCACAGGAAGCCAGTGCAGAGACCTGAGCACAGGACGCATGTGCTCAAACTTCTTGGTTTGAGCAAGGACCCGAGCTGCAGAGTTCTGGATGTACTGCAGCTGACTCACAGTGAGCAGGCCGTTACAGTATCTAACCTACTGGAGACAAACGCATGGGTAAGTCTCTCCAAGTCTGCTTTAGACAGTGTACCTTTGAATTTTGTTTTTTAAGTAAACAGCTGCATGTGTTATTAATTTGATGTGGCGGTTAAAGTTCAAGTCTGAGTCCATTATTATCCCTAGAGTTCTAGCTTGATTTGAAGGTTTTAGAGAAACAGGCTGGAGGTGACAACTAACATTTTCTGTTTCTGTGGGTCAAAGACAATGACTGCCCTCGTGTCTGACCTCCAATTTATAATAGCATTAAATATTTTCATTGACAAACCAGAAAGGAAACTGTTAAAGGATAATTACCGCACATGACACTGTCTCCCCCCAGTGGTCATTCACCCTCATAGTCACAGTCGTGACTGTTGCAGTGCAAGTCTTTACAAACTCAATGTAGAACAATAAATAATCACGTTATTTATTGCAAAAGTGCTTCATTTTTTCTGTGACATAAAGTGCTACAAGGTATGTAAACACAAAGATAATGTAAAGGGAAGTAGATCTGCAAAACACAAATTAACACTGACAAATGTACACAAAAAATCTTAAGAGCAGAAATTTAAGGCTATGGGTTAAAGGGCCCATATTACACTATTTTCTAATCTAGGTTATAATGTTGTTTCCTCATCAAAAACATGTACATTCAAACATGTCTAAGACACAAAATTCTGCATTTAGGCTGAAATCTTCTCTCCAATAGATAACACTCTGTTCCACCCACCTACAACTACCACTATCTGACATCACAAGGTGGAACAGAGCATTTTGAGAATTGGAGATATAGTCAGACTAATAATAAGGGATTACTCAAACACAATGCCACGTATGTTTTCTAACATGGTTTAAAGCTCACAAAAGTAAATTTTGTATAATATAGAATCATACCAGACATAGTTAACATACCAGACTTATTTTTGTTGAATTTTTCCTCATCTATGACAGAGATGTAAAATAACATGAATCCTTCTTTAGACATAAGCTGTAAAACGTACCATGAGCAGAATAATGCCCGATAGTGCTAACAAAACAAGCTGAAAATTACCTTCAATTGTATTCACATTATAAACCGTATGGGAGAGAACTCATTATCCCACTGTAGTGATAGCACATAACAGATTTATTTGATTCCATTTATAATTAGTTTTTATTTGATGACGTCTGCACTGATGGGGTGAGGGACAGTGGAGTTGGTGCCACAATCGACATATTCATAGGTCTCCAGTGAGAGCTGCTCCATGTGTGAGAGATATGAGATGTTCAGGGTCATTCTGGAAAAAAGAAACCATTGTCAAAGTCAAATCAATGGAAGATATATGATCAAAGGCATCGTTTCCCGAAGGCTGGGTCGCAACCCTCAGGTGGGTCGCAAGAGATTTTTTTTGTGTTGCCTTGTCATGATCTGCATCTAGGTCTGAAATATACAGTTCTGGCACATGCTGAAATGTTAAGACATGTTTTGTATAATTTCTAATCTTTTTGTAATTATTTTATTGACTATTTTGTTCCAAAATTGCTGCTTCAATTGAATGTTGAAAAGAAAAAAAAATAGGCTACATTTAATGTCCAAATAGGCGACTTATGGATCCTTTTACTGCTGCTTCAATGAATTCATTGTTTAAAACTTGAGTAATAACAATTGTTCAGAGACACGATCACTCAGACAACAATAAAATATCCTCATTAATGTTTAGTAATGGTCAAATCTACCTTTATTTTGTGATTTATGAATAATGTCTATTGACTTGGGTCACGAAAGTTTGTGACTTTTAAAATATGTATCCCCAGAAAAAAAGTTTGGAAAACACTGACCAAAGGTATCGCTGCACAAAAATTCTATAACCATTCTTGCAATTACAATATTCATAGGATCTTTTTTATTTTAATTAATCTCTTGTAAAACCTTATAAAGAATTTAGTGTATAACAATTTAGTGGCTCTAAACACTTTGGATAGAGAAAAACCTACAAAACTTGTACACCTAAGTATTCACAACTTCAAAGGTGCAAGGTGTGGGAATTTCCACTACTATAAAAACAGTCAAGTAGTTTCTAGTTGGACAGCTGTTCATTTGAGGACCTTGAAACTTGTAACAATAATTTCAGCATAACAAACATTTCCTGAGTTTTTTTTCCCTGTGGAATTTGTGTTTGTGCTGGACTTACTGTAGTGCCACAAATATGGTGTGAATCCTGAAGCTGGTCTTGCAGTAGGTGCTAAAAAAAAAAATACAAAACCAGGTGTTGACATGAGACTGGTGCCTGTGTTGTTTGGTTTTGATTTGACAAATAATTCACTTACTTTAGGCCTGGATCTTTGATGGACAGGTTGGTTAAGATTTTGTACTGTGGGGATAGAAAAAATGATTTGGTTATAGATAAAATGATGGCATGGCTCTTTAATTATTATTTTATTATAAGTGCACAAGGTAGAAGCATTTATTTACACTGTAGATCAGGGGTGGGCAAACTTTCTGGCTCGCGGGCCACATAGGGTTCTAAAGTTTGACTGAAGGGCCGGACAGAAGACAGGACATAACGTGTTAAGAGCTCAGATTCATTACATTCTTATTCACATTTATCTAGAACTTCAGAAGCAGGCTACACATTTCATCACTGCTGTGAAAGATTCAGAATACATAAAACTGTTGAGACCTGTTCCACTTCACACCACGAGTGAATGTATATCGTGAGTTCACCATTTTCAAACATGACTGGTAACAGCTCAAAAACAAAGCTCACGCCAAACAACTACAAATATACACCTGTAAGTGTGATAAAACCTGACTCCAAACTGATGTACACATTAATAATTACAACTCAGAATCCATAGGTTTTCTTGATTGACTTTTACCAACTCAAAATGGAAGCAGTGCAGTCTTATATCTTAAGCACCAACTACTTCAACTCATGGTCCGAATAACTCCTGTAAGAACACTTTCCCATAAAGCATTGCGGCCAACATAATACGCCGCAACTCAATGTATATATAGTGCGCCATCTACTGGGAAACGCTGACAAATAAAACATCAACAAGGTTTATTATTGAAATTTATTCCAGTTCGGCAGGCCGGATTAAAAGGTTTAAAGGGCCGTAGTTTGCCCACCCCTGCTGTAGATACTTAACCCGTTTATTTTTTAGAATTATCTCAAAACTGAGTTGCAATTTTAGTATGGCGACTCGGCCTGTCACGATAACACATTTTGAAGTGCAATAACTTGTTGAAGAAAATATAGCCAATAAGATAAACGATAATGTTGAAACTCATTTATGCCACTGACACAATAATAACTGAAGAGCAGATTTAAACACAAAAACTATTATAAATGTACAATATTGTTAAAAAATCATGAGCGGCAATAAATAAACAGCAGAAGGAAACACTTAAGTACTCAAGTTTGAATCTGGATTGAGTCATAGAAGTTATCAATTCTATCTTTTATGGCTTAAACCTCATCATATAACCAAAAAAGATAATAAATAGAAATAAGATAGAAATAAAAAATTCCAGTGTAACGAAAATGTACACACGATAAATACTGATCCAAAGAAATATTGTGTGACCTTTCAAAGAACGAACGATAAGTTGATATAGAAATGATCGTGACAGCACTATTTAATACTGCACTTACTGATTTCTGTGACTGGGAGTTGATGAGGGTAGAGTTTTTTAAAGTTGTATTGCCCACTATGGTGTCCAGTATGAGCCCTTTAAGTTTGAGCTCTACGATATGAACTGGCACAAAGTTTCCATTGGTGATGTTAAAAACGTTCTGTGAAGGAAAAAAAAAAAAACTGTCATAAAAGTGAAAAAGTGACGTGCATTTAATCTTAAACTTAAATGTAGACTTAAACAGACTTTATTGATCCAAAAGGGAAATTATTTGGCCACAGCAGTATAGTAGTATAACAAAGAGCAACAATATGAATGATAATTATCAATTATAAACAAGAAGCAAAAACATCAAGAGACAGGTGTCAAATAAGGCAGAATTATAAAAATGTATATGTACAAGCAAACATAAACCTGACAGACTTTGAACTTTACTGCGGTGAAAAGATAACAGTCATGTGAATGAAGGCGTTTTATTGGTTCATGACCCAGTTTTACCATGTAGAAAACTGAAAATCATATTAGTTTGCATGTGTTTTCTTTTTATAAAACGATATACCAAGTTATAATTTATGTTTCTGTTGGATTATACATCACAGTAAAGAGGCTTAAGAGCGCGTCTAATAGCCCGGAAAATACGGTAATACAAACCATGTAATTGAGAATATGCAAGACTAATATATTAAATAACACACTGTGAAATATTTCAGGAGAAACAATAGCATCTCCATGGAAGAAAAACACAAGAAAAGTTACATAGTGGACCTTTAAACTTAAAAATCACCAGTAATTGTGGCCATAAATTTCAGATTTAAATACTACTGATGCATTTGACTGGCTCCTCTTTACTTACTGTGATTTCCATTTCAACAGTTTTGTTGGTAAAGAACACGGTGGCGGACAGCAAAGACACGGGGGTCAAAGTGACGCTCCGAGGAAACAGGAAGAAGAGAACCAAACAAGAAATCAACAAGCAAAGAGTCGTGGATATACAGACGTACAGTTTTCTGCAACAACAAACAACACCAATGAGATTCTATTAGTTTAAAGGTCCTGTATTACACAAAATTGACTCGTGTGAGCTTCAAGCCATGTTGTAATGCTGTTTCCTCCTCAAAAACAAACCTGGAGCTGTGTTTGGTTTCATTCACATGTTTGAGTTAGGGGTGGGTGAAATCTTGATATTTTAAATACATTGAGATATTTTTTAAAGATAAAATGGATTCTGACATATCGTTTATATCGATATGATATCCTTGATTTTGTGACCCCTCTCCTCGCGTGTGTCTCATTCACTCCTCACTACTGCCATGAATGCAGAAAGTTGGTGCCAACCAAAGCTTCTAGCACCACAAACCTTTTCCACCATTTACAGACTCAGCATCAGCAACACATCCTCAGAGAACACTCATATTCCACTGAGCCGTGTCCTTTAGTCCGACAGAAACTGACCGCATCAGCGCACATGGAAAGAGTTTTTTTCAGCACTTATATTTTATGGAAATGAGCCATGTGGTTTTAGGTTTTGTTTTTGTAAAATGTAAACAAATGTGTCAAAGCTGCATTAAACACATTATAATGTCAAACGGGCTGATGTGGCTCTAGAGTGGTTATGGTTTATATGTTGTAAAGTTTATTTATGATGAATATTAGGATCTATTAAAATAAGGAACCTCCTGAGCTTCTTCTGCTAGAGGAGCTCATGGTTATGGGATTAGGGATGGTTAGGGATTTTTTTTATGTCGCAGAAGCACTTTGTTCCTACATGAACTGCCCACCACTTTGCACTTCAATAAAAAAAGACCTTGTGTAATTTGGAAATATTTGTTTTTGCTGTAGTTTTTGGGGGGTTATTTTTCCTTTACATATATTGAGATATTATCGAAATATATTTTTTGCTCCATATCACCCAGCCCTAGTTTAAGTAATCCTTTATTATTAGTCTGTCTACATCTCCAAAGCTCAAAATACTCTGTTCCACCTTGTGATGTCATGAAGTGGTATTTGACAAGTTAACAGCTATCTTTTACCTTCAGTTCAGTAGAGACTGACAATTCCAGGGCTGAAATTATCCAAATGATTCTAGGGAAAATGTATAAAAACACATTGGAGCACTTACTGTATTGCCACATGACATCACAAGGTGGAGTCTTTTGTGTTAGAATAAGTCAGCCTAAATACGCACGGTTTGTGTGTTATACATGTGTGAATTAAACAAAACACAACTCCAGGTCTGTTTGTGATGAGGAAATGACATTATAACTAAGATCAGTGATATATTATTTATAGCGTGGACTCATCATTACAGTTAGAGAGTATCGGGGATTTATTTGTACATTTTTGTCTCAGTATGTCCACCAAATAAATCAGATCAAATTTTTTTAGATAATGTTGTAGATAATATTTCCCATCTCTGATTACAAACAAATCGGTAAACATGTGCAAAATTAGTAATAAGTATTAATAATGTACACCACCATAGCCTTAAAGTTACCGTTTGGCAGACCCCAGCACCACTAGATGCTATTTACAAAGGCCAGGGGAGGGGCAACAGGTTTCACATCTACCATCTACTGGTGAAGAAAATCTAATAAAGTTACAGGCACAAAAAAAGTGTTAGAAAATGTTTCTTTCTTACGTGCGACTTGGTTTCAAGCGTTTGTCATTGCACGGTATTACAGCAACAAGCTGGTCTTCGTGACCTGGGTGAAATAAAAGGAAGAAATAAGAAGTCCAACCACATGGATTTAATGTTACACAAATGCAGAACCAAGAAAATGAAATGAAACCTTAAGAGAAAAGTACACAGGAAAAAGTAGTGATATAAAGGAAGGCTGGAAGTGAAACAAACATCCCCTGATGAAGCAAAAACTGCACCTTTCACATGAAACAGAGTCCCATTAACATCGTGGTTAGGCATAAACCTACTTCACCTGTTTAGACCTGAGATGGTTTAAGTATATTATTGGTTAAAGGAGATTATAAATTATGCAAATTCACTCGACTTTAACTGTGCTTTTATATTGCTCTCACCAAAAACATAGCAGGAGTTGAGTCTTCACAGTAATGTATTACTGTTTGCTAGTGCAATATTGTAAAAAGTTTATTGCAATGTTTTTGATTTGTTGTTATTAATCGAACAATATTTCAATAATCAATACAACAATATATCTACAATATGTCTGAATGTCTGCAAATGCCTTTGTTAAAGTTGGTGTATTAAACTGCGACATGAAAGGAGCACAAAATAAAAAAGGACAGAAATATCACATTATACTTCTTTTAGCTTCATGTGTCCATCTTGTATTAATCAGTGACAGGGGTATTTATTGGTAAGGAGTCACAAACTGTAACTTGACCTAGTGGTGTCACCTGCTTGTTTCCATTGAGATAGATATGTTTAATGTCATTATGTGGAACATTCCAGGCACAGCAATAACATCTCTATGTTTACAAGCAGACCCTCCACCAGAAGAGTTAGTCCATCTTTAAAGATTATATGTCCAGTTTTTCATATTTTATATGCAGCCTTTTAAATTGTTTTTATTACTATACACATAATATGTACTTGATATTCAGATTCAGTTGTGATATAAGTGTTTTCTTGATGTATCTCCCAGCTCTACTGTTTAAACACCGTGACAATAGCCTCTCTCACCTCTGGGTATGCGGCCTGTGCCTCTGCAGGTGGGGCAGGTGATGTCTCCAGAGCAGGGTTCATCCATGGTGCCATACGATGGAGGATACTGCATCAACCCTCTCACTTTATCCACAGTGCGCCTCAGAGCTGAGTTCTCCACGGCAGATGTCACCATTTCTGAAGATTTAACAACCATTTACTGTTCACATTTCTGCTTGCACGATTACTCAGGCATTCTTGTAGGGGAGTTTAAGTTGGTATAAAGTTAATACATTTTATAGTTAAATCCTCAATGTAACTTTTTAGCCACAAAACAGATGAAAATAAAAACATGTTTTTTTCACTGTGGCTGTGAATAAACATGTTTTTGGCCTGGAGAAGGCCTCCTTCCTGCTTGTTTCCATAGAAATGTTGTTTCATTGGCTATAATATTCCACAGTGTGGCATAATACTCCTCTGTCTCCATGGAGCATGTTCCAAAGAATTTTAACTTTCCATTTCCACGGAATCATGCAGATGAACCCCGGAAAGATACACCTTCAGAAACCAGCATGTAACTTTTCTAACTGCATTCTTTTCTCTCCACAGCAAAATAACCGACAGAAGTTTAATGCAATACTGTGGAAAATTTTTCTAATAGCATCTCCATGGACACAAGCCAGTGGCATATCCTCGACCACAAAAAGGAACATACCATTTTAGTATAAAAAGAAAATCACAATTTTCACGAGTCTGGTAAGTTTCGATACCCTTGAAGTTAAAACAGGTCTAGAGTTGTGAGTCAGTTGAGTTATTTTTGAGGATATTTAGCCAATCGCAACGTGTAATGCGTTGTTAAAAATTGTTTAGTCATCCCGTAAATGCAAATCAAAGCTGCTCACCTTACACTTTACTGCTCCAAGATCTGCTACGTTTAGTCCCGCAGTCTAAAGGCAGCGTGTTTTTAGGCAAATAAAGTGTTGTCGCAGAAAAGTGCGCATGTTTGAGCAAACAGCGCGAGCGCACTTCCTTGTTCTGAAGTGTGACAGGAGGCGTCAGTCACGTGCTGTGTCCATCAGCCTTTGGACAGAGGTGAGCCAAAAGCACAAACACATCATTAACCTATTTATACTGTACTGAGCATCATTTATCCGGACAACTTGACAGTCTATTTAAGGCTACTGGCTTAAACATCCCGGACACTAATTGGAAATCGCCAGTTTAAGTTAAAGGAACAGTATGTAACTTTCTGGAAGAGGCGTGTCACCTTGATTTCTATAACATGTCACGAAATAGAAAGCTAAAACTGTATGTTGGAGCATTCTCTGTCGATAGAGATTTTATATACCACACAGTGAACTATTATAGCCAAAGGAACAACACTTATATGGAAACATTAACAAGCAGATGGAGACCCTAAACATGCACTCTAACTGTGAGCAGGCTTGCCCCTCCAAAGATCTGATATGTAACTTGTCATGGTAGCGTCAGGAGGTGGATGTTTCATGCTAGTCTGTGGAGCAGCGTCTCTTTTTTTTTTTTTTTTTTTTTTTTGGCAAATATTGGTTGCTTTAACTATTGGCTTTTGTGGCAAATTAGTTGAGGAATTCAGACTGAACTATTCACTAAACAAGTGCATGTTTTTAGATATTACCACTTCACGGGTTTCAGGACTTTTGCCCATTCAAAAGATCTAACATTTTGTTTTGAATTGTTAATTGTTATGGCAAAAGTGTCATTCTGAAACCCATGGACAGCAGCTCAAGCACTGAACCCACAACCTCTCAGCTTAAAGGAACAAGAACACATTACATAACTTGTGAATTTTTTTCCAGTGTTCTGAGTTGCACGAGACACAACTTTGAGAAATGTAGTTCAGAGCAGGTTAATAGAATGTAGTGTAGCTAGTCTTTTAACCTCTGTACTTTTTATAGGCACAGTTGCATAAAATGAGCGTAGCATGAATACAGACTTAAGTTACTGATGTGCAAATAGTTTATTGGCCATTTCTTAAACAGCAAAATGGTTTTCATGTTCACATCTGTAGAAGGCATCACGCAAATAATGTATCTACTATTCAGAAGTATTTTAGAGAAGATATTTAAACATGAGGAACAAAACATAAAAAATATGAAAACGTCAATCACCATGAATTAAACCACACAAACATAGTAGGAAAGTAACTTAATACAAATGTTGATCTCAGTAAATCGTCAAAGGCATTCAAGGAAAAAGTAAAAGGGGATAGTTTCACCAATACATTTTTGACTTATCTGCAACAAACAAACTGGCCTATTTAAAAACTCAGATTTAAGACCATTGAAAAGTACACTTGCTTCCGCTTGTTTCAATCATCTCCATGGAGATTTTGTTGCTTTGGAATGTTTCACAGTATGGCATTAAACTTATAAATTTATTTTTCAATATAAAACCAAAAATAAGAAAACAAAAAACAACAGTTTTCTTCATTATTTGTCTCCAAAACCAAAATGAAAAAACAGATAATGATTTGTTTTTTCATTTTTTTGATTTTGTGTTTAAATGAATAATGGAAAAAACAGATAACGGCCATTTCCTGTTTTCATGACTTAAACTGCGATTCCGGACTAAAACAGGACTGAACCAGGAATAAAACAGGACTGAACAGGTCTAAATCTGCTTTAAACCACAACTGAACCAAGATTAAACCAGGTCTCAATCCTGGTCCCAGTCTGGTCCCGGTTTCCTGATCACCCAACAGTCTACGCTGGTGCACATCCGGGCTATTCCTGACACTCCTGGTTCAGTCTTGGTTCAGTCCTGGTTCAGTTCCAGTTTAGTCCTGGTTTAGGACTGAGGCCGGGACTGGACAAGGACTGGGACTGAGACTAGGACTGAGACCGGTTTAGAGCTGGTTTAGAGCTGGTTTAGTCCTAGTTTAGTCCTGGTTTAGTCTTGGTTCAGTCCTAGTTCAGTCCGGCATCACAGTTTAAGTCACAGAAATGTAAAATCCATTATTCATTTAAACACAAAGTCGAAAAATAAAAAAACAAATCGTTATCTGTTTTTTTCATTTTGATTTTGGAGACAAATAATGAATTTTTTTGTTTTGTTTTCTTATTTTTGATTTTATATTGAAAAACAAATGAACGGATACATGGATTCTTCCTGATCTTGCCATCTATCTTATCTTTTTTCACTACATTTTTACTGTGAGTGGATTTGCCTCTTCACAGATCTGACCTCTAACTTTGCTAGTGGTGTCACATGCTTCTCTGCGTGATACGTATAGATTTAATGCCATACTGTAGAACATTTCAGGTAATGCAGTAACAGCTCCATGGAGACAAGCATGTGACAAACCCTTCAGCCCAAAAGTACATAGGTTAGCTTTAAAATATACAAAAAAAGATGTAATTTAAGTTGATTTATCCATAAAATCAAAATAAATGTCTAAACACCTATAAATATTGTCTTCTTCTCGTTTAAAACATGTTGGATGGCTTTGTAAAGCGGTCTTGAAGTTACAGACAGGTCTAAAACATGGTGAAAATGTCCCTTGGTTCCTTAAGTTGGAGGAATGTGATGTTGGTGATATTTTAAGATCCGTGATGAACTGAGCTGTGGCTTGGTTTGAACTGGAAAGACATGACATAGCAGAAAAGGGTGTGGACCATGACACAAAGCATAACATTTATCCACTATGACGTTGCTAAAATTCACGAGAAATTCACGTCTATAGCCTCTACCTGTCATGGCTCGTGCAGAAAGCGGTAGAAAAACTAAAATGTGTCTTAACAGTGATTCATCTGAACTGTTTTTGAATACATTCCACATGTCAACATCATAATATTATTAACAGTACTCTTGATACAGGAAAAAAGATTGCATTGTTTAGGCAGATTTTCACTACAATGTTTAAGAATTGTCTTAAAGGTGCACTGCGTAACATTTCTAGTAGAAGATCTGACACTTCCTTGTTTTCATGGAGATGTTATTGCTTTTCCTGAAATGTTTTACATTAAGTGTTATGGCATTAAGCATATCACTCTTTAAATCAAATACAGCCGTTTTTATTGCTCACAAATCTAACTAGGACTGGGCCCTCCTTAGTCAGACTGGTGCCTCCTAGTGCCTCCATTCAATTTCATTTCTCCTCAGTGACTAGGTGAGGAATCAGAATACACTAGACAGTTTGCAAGAACCCCAGAAATGCGAGTTCGGGCACCAGCCAATCAACAAAGAGCTATACATTCTGTGTTGGCAACAATTCCCAAGATCGAGGATTTAAGCTGGAACAAAGTGAATGTTTGATGAATTTTATCAAGGGGAAAGACGTTATTGCCCTTCTTCCTACGGGATTTGGGAAAAGCTTAATATACCAGTTAGCCCTGTTTGTGGTGCATTACATACATCATGACCAAATAGCAGCGTTTGGTTAAATAAAAAAGTACACGCCTCCCATCAAGCGAACGAATCCTGATGCTGTGAGGTCAGATGGTTTCTACAAAGTGAAACCATCTTTGTATCATATCTACAAACTGAAACCGTCTGATGAATCAGGCTAGGCCCTCCTCTCCACAGATCTGCTTTATGAATTGGTTTAAAAAATTATGAAAAATAAGGACTGCTGCCATAGCAATAAATAATTTAAAACAAAATATCCCATCTTTTGAATAGTAAAAAGTTCTCAAATTGTTGCCTATAATCATTCCTGAAACCCATGAATAACTTCACCTAGTGGACTCTTCAGCTCGTTTCTATGGATACAGCTAAATCTAATGCCATACTGTGAATCATTCCAGGCAAAAACGATAACATCTCCATGGAGACAAACAGGTGATGGACTCTCAACCGGAAATGTTATATAATGCACCTTTTTACTGCACTGCTGACTCTGAAATTAAACTTGCCCCAGTAGCATCCACATGTATAACTTTGTATAACATTCAATAATTATCATCTTAATTTCTAGCTATGCTCCTCAAAATGACAGCGTTTTACCAGACCAAGAAGCAGCTACAAGCCATACAAACACTATGAAGAAGCTTATACACAGTTCAGTCCCTCTCCACCACACCACCACACATATATAAAGCTCTTATGTCCAAGTAAATCAGGAATATGGCAAAGCTTAATCTGCCATGTTAACTCATCTTAAGTGCTTCTTTAGGGATAATAATAATTCTTAACTTTTTCAAAAACTAATCTATTATTTCTTACATCTGTGCCATGTTTATGTTCCTTCATTCTCAAAAGTAGGCTATCCTAAAAATAGAATACACCAATCAGGCAAAATATTGTAACCACATGTTTTCTTGATTTTGATAATCTCGTAATCTAAGATCGAGAATACGGGCCAATAATTCTATATCTAAACACAAAATCCAAGAATATTTGTATTATTATTACTTTGTCCAGGTATTGCGCCCACATATGTTAGGCCCTTTCTACTTTCTGAATTGAGCAAGTTTGATTGGATAATACTACAACATTATGAAGTTAAAGTGAAGCTATAATTTTACCTGATTTAATTTGCACTGACAGAGTTGACATCAGGCTAGTTTTATTTCTGAATAGATCCAGTAATTATGGATATTGGCCATAAACCAGGGCAAAATATCTGCAATAAACAGTTTTAAGGTGTTAAAGAGTTGCCCTCTGCTTCAATATTTAACTCTAAGTTCTTTATAATGTTATGAAATCTTGTGAACCCAACCAACTTCACTGTCATCACATTTTATCTGAATCATGGTTGGCTCTCCTCACATGCATCACCAGTCAATAATACAACATTATGTTCCTTCCCTTCTCTCATTTTAAAGGTGCTCTATAAATAAAATAAACTGACTGTACAAGAGTTACCATTTAGAGATACATGTTCTGCAAGATTGAAATTTGATCAAAATTTTAGTGAATACAGCTGCCAAATTGCAAACTGCAATTTTCTACCAGTACCATTCTTTTCCTCCACAAACAACACAACGGCATGTTTTAGTCTGTCGAAAACTGGTAGCCCTGTAGAAATATATTCTAAAATGTAATTCTTGTATTAGCTTAAGTTCTATTTTAGTCTTTCTGGA